AAAACCACACAGAAGTCCAAATTTTACAAAATGGGGAGAAGAATGAAAACACAAAGGCACACGCAACCACATGGACACACTTCACCTTTTAAGGGATGAGCTTCTGACAAGGTCTGTCTCCAATCCCATTTGTCATCCCTGGAGACTCTGAAAGGAAGAAATTAGGCTGCTGGTGCTAAGACAATGGACAGAAAGGCATAGAATCCCCTGCCAGGGCCAGGGGGACACGGCAGGGTATCTGGTGGGGAAAACATCCCTGGTGTCAAAGTAGTGGACAAACAGGACCTTTGCTGGCCGGTTCCTCCCAGAACCCAAGACTGCACTGTTCCAGGTTGGTACAAGAGAAAGGGCAAAGGAATACCCCATACTTTGGCTGGCACAGTGTTAGAAGGGAAATTCTACATCCCTTCTATCCAGAAAGTCCCACAAGAAGAGCAGTGTGAGGGTGAGGTAGCCCTTACTGAACACCCTTCTAGAGGAGGAGAAAAGGGGCATAGTCACAATCAAAATCCGAGGGGGAAAGGCTTGAAGGTATGAAGACTCATTCTCAGAAGTGGTATTACCCCTGGTATACAGACTCCCTGATACATTCTCTGGGTCCTCTTTCTTCTGCTCCTGGCCATCTCCTTCCCCATCTTCTTCTGTCTGATACAGGGAAATCACTCGGCCCCCCACCACCTATTTCCAGTTGTCAAAGCACATCTTCTTTCCTTCTCCACCTCCTACTGCCTCAGTTGTGTTTTTCTGCCCACTGACCCTCAGTCTGTTCCCTTGTCCCTGTGGGCAAGACGCTCAGCAGATACTCAACAAGAATGCTAAAGACGGTGATAGTCCTAGGCCTACAATGAATCTCAAAGGACTCAAGGAATCTCTTGGGTCCCTGGCACAGGGTAAAGAGCATGGGTGTGACATTAAACACCACAGGGAAGTCTCTTTCAATGAATTCAGATGTTTCCTTCCTGACTATGGCAGGAAATCGCCCGATGGTGCAGGGAACTCAGGACCAATCTCCTGGTCTGCTGGTGAGATAAATGGCCACTGGCTGATAGAGGAACTAGAACTAAGATGGCAGGAACAACTCCTCTTATCAGGGCTCCCTCTGGTGGAGCAGATTCAATCCCTATAGCCATTTGGAAAGCGAGGAAAGGCTCAGCAGCAGCGTGTCCTGCGGAACTGGGTGATATTCATCAGGTGAGTCTACTGATCGTACCAAGGTCAAAATGGCTGCAGGCCTAACAGCAAGCAGCTACGGGGCTGGCTCCCATGAAAGCCTGGCCTCCAGTTCTAACTTAAGTACCATTTTTGAAGTTTCTTTTGTTTCAATTTTTCTAGCATCAAAATTCTTCCAAATATTATGAAATATATATGCATATCTATATGTCAAATCCCCAAAACATGAGGTATATAAATTCAATTAGTATCCAGAGGAACTTCCCCCAAACACACAGTTCAATGAACACACTTTCAAATGGGAAATTGGGCTTCCCTTCTTGATCCCCCTTCTCTCCTCCCTGACCACTAATTCAGTATTTAATGGAAGCCAAAGGCAAGAGGAATATTTAGGAGGGGATAGACGGGATCTCGGGACACAACCCAGTTGCAGGTTGGACCAGACCATAATGTGGTCACAGTCCTGTTACGAATGAGCTAAAGAGGCTCCATCCATGCTCTGGGTGAATCTGTAATAAGTGAGGGAGATGAGGGGGCCGGCACCACCTCTGGGCCCTGATTTGCCAATTTACATGGAGACAGATGGAAGCCCTCACAGAAACAAGACCGATCAATAGAAACTGGATCTTATCCAATCTTTAAAGAGCTAGGAAAAGGGGTCAGCGCAGCCCTCACCTCATCACATCTTCCCAAGCTCAGTTCCGTCTCCATCAGGATGCAAGTTTCCTCTGGGATGGGCTGGCAAAAGGGTGAGGAACACCTAGGGACCACAGCCTGGCTGTTTGATCCTCGTCAGAACCGAGACAGTGTGTGGGAGCATGGACTCCCCCACCAACCTTGCCCAATGGTGTGCACACGCGTGCACATACACACACACACACACGCACGTACACAGGTGGCACAGAGCCTATAGTGGGCTCTATTCACAGTGACTTGATGAAATTCATGGAATCTTTGAGCTGGTCTGGGATGAGGTGGAAGAAAGCTCTGCGCTCCTCTCCCTGAGGACGGTTCAGATGCTTAGTGGGATGCGGGCTCTGGTCTGATCAGAGAGGGGCTGGAATCAGCATCGTAGGATACCACCCCCAAAAGGAATCCAGAGTCCATTCATCCACACGACAGGACCAGACTCCTCTTTGGACAGTTCAAAGGTGTGAGGAGAAGGAGAGGGCCCAGAGAAGCCAAGGGCTATCACGAGAGCAGAACGTGCCCCCTGAGACCCTGGCCTTCCTGACCCTCTTGGCAAGAACTGCTCCCTTGCCATACTCCGAGGCATCTGATTTCTGACGTCACAGCAGTTTGGCGGTTCATCCCTTTGCCCCGCAACCTTGCACAGTGAGCGCTCCCTGCCTCCAGCGGAGGAGAGAAAAGCGGAAACTCCGCTCTCAAAGCAGAGTGGAAGCAGCAAGAAGCCAGCTGAGGCCATGAACCTCAGCCTTGACAAGGCCAGGGTATAGAGTGCTCACGCACCGTCCATACCCCAAGTGTGCTGACCAAGCCCCCTAACTTGGGGGTGAGGGGGATTCTTGCCTACCCAGCACCGAAAACTCCATGGGAACAGATCGAGGATGGCCCTCAGCCTGTGTCCCCTTTGCGTTGGATGAGGTTTATGAATGATGTGGCCTTATTCAATCTGGCTCCCCATTGTGGCTGGGAGGGACAGGAGGGATGGAAACAGAACAGGAGGGGAGAAGAGGGAGTCAGGAGGGCATGGCACCAACTTCTACCTTGACTCTCCCCACTTCCTGCCTTGTGGCTCCCATGGGTCCATCCCATCCCAAAGTCCCTCCAGGCTCAGTCCTTCTCCTGGGCAGCACTGTCTTCAGAGATGCCCTGGGCAGCCAGTTCAGCCAACACATTATCCAGGTAATTGGCATCTGGGTACCCGTGGCCAGTGAGATTAGAGCCAAACTCTGTCTTGTGGTGGACCTCGTTCCAGATAACCGTGTCTGACTCGCCCGTGGTGCTGGAGGTACCAATGGCAAAGATGAGGCGGCGGTCCCAGGCCACCAGCAGCAGCTTCAGAACCTAGGAGAGCCAAGGCAGGAGACCAAAGATGGACGTGCAGTGTTGGCCAAATTACCCCTAGATGCTAGTCTTCCCAAGGCACACATCCCTTCCTTTATCATGATCCCTACACAGCACAGTGGAACAGAAAGAGCCCTGGACTTGAAGTTAGAGACCAATAGGTTGAACCTTGTGTCTGTCACCAACTAACTGTGTCACCTTGGACAAGTTATTTCACCTCTCTGAGCTTTAATTTCCTTCTTTATAAAATGGCGATGGTACAGTCTGCCTCTAAAGGTTGTGAGCATTTTATGGGGCATCACATGAAAAGCACCTTCAAAGCACTGCCCGGCACACACTATTCAATAAATGTTCGATTCCCACTCATGGCGGCCCCATGTGTGTCAGCGTAGAACTGTGCTCCATAGGGTTTTCAATGGCTGGTTTTTCAGAAGTAGATTGCCAGGCTCTAGGCAGCAAGGCTCTAAAGAAAGGATTCTGAAATAGAGGAATTATTGCCAGTAATATCCTGGAGAGGAAAAAGCCCAAATTCCCTGTTCTGTTTGTGGTGTGCCGTCAAGTCGATTCTGACTCATAGCAACCTTATATGACAGAGTAGAACTGCCCCATGGGGTTTCCTAGGCTGTAATTTTTAGGGGAGAAGATCTTGAGGTCTTTTCTCCTGTGGAGCCGCTGGTGGGTTCGAACTGCCAACCTTTTGGTTAGCAGCTGAGTGCTTAATCATTGTGTTACCAGGACTCCTTAAAATTCTCCCCATCACCCCGCCAAAAAAATTTCAATCATATCCACCCTCACGTACAGTTGACTCAATATGACCTTGTTACCATGTGCATCCGGAGTTCCAGGAGACCCTATTCTCTTTGGCCAGCGCATCGTAGGAAGCAAAACTTGGGCCCATAAGATAGAAACCAAATTCCCCGGCCCCACCCTGAAGCCTCCTCTTACCTTTCTTCCTTTCTCGCTGTCTGGAAGGTAACAGTGTCGTGGGAAGCCGCGGGCACTGAAACTCTTCCCAGGATTTGGGTGTTCTGGGCCCTGGGAGCAGAAATAAAGAAAACAAAGGGCATTTTTCAAAATGTTTCCGATGAGAGGGGTGCAGGCTGTGGCTAATTCAGACAACGCTGACAGTAACAATGGCCAGAGAGTCTAGACCAAGAACAGGTCCAAAATGCAGTGTGTGTACTGATTGAACACATGTGCTCTGGAGTCTTTAGACAGAGGTTTGGGCCCAGAGCTGCCACCTTACAACTGTGTCCACTGGAGCCCTCTCTTGGGACTTTGGTTTCCCACCTGTTAAATGGGGATGGTGTGGAATACTCTCCTCATGGGGTTATTATGAATGCTAAGTGAGAATGGTGCCTGGTGCTCAGTACATTTTTATCATCATCATCATCACCATCATTTATCCTGGCTATTTTTGTTTGTTCGTTTAAAAAAAAAAAGAGAGGAAAACTGCAGCCCAGACAGGTTACATGACTTCCATAATGTTAGTGGCTTTGACAGAACTTAAGCCCAGATTTCCCAAGCTTACTTCAAACTGTTCACCTCTAAACTACTTCGAAGAAAAAAAGGTGCCTCTGAGCTGTGAGCTCTGCAATCAGAATGTTCTGAATGATTCCTGTGCATTCTCTCTTTTGTCCTAGGTTTTTGCTTATTTTCTTGTTCAACAATATGGATTGGGATATTCATGAGTAAAACTCTCCCCAAAACATGGAAACTAGTATCAGCTGATGCCTCTATGAAGCAAGCAGTCTCAGGCCACTGGGTGGCACAGAAACTGAAACTGAAATTAGCCAGAACCCTGCTTCCTAGTGGGGGCTCAGAATGGGTTCACAGGCTCCGTTGAGAAGCTTAAGAAAAGCGAAGGAGTTTCTCCTGTTAAAAATGCACGTGTTTCCACACACACAAACGTTTGCCTACAATTTCTGAACATCTGTGATCCCCTCAGAGTCTGTAGAACCGTGTTTAAAAACTGCCTCTAGATAAATCCAATCTAGTATTGACGAAGAATTGACGCATTTGAATTAGTGTTGGCGAAGAATATTGAATATGCCATGGACTACCAAAAGAACGAACAAATCTGTCTTGGAAGCAGTACAGCCAGAATGCTCCGTAGAAGCAAGGATGATGAGATTTTGTCTCACATACTTTGGACATGTTATCAGGAGGGATCAGTCCCTGGAGAAGGACATCATGCTTGGTACAGTAGAAGGTCATCAAAAAGAGGAAGCCCCTCAATGAGATGGATTGACACAGTGGCTGCAACAATGAGCTCAAGCTTAACAACGATTGTGAGGATGGCACAGGACCAGGTAGTGTTTTGTCCTATTGTACATAGGGTCACTATGAGTTGGAACCGATTCGACGGCACCTAACAACAGTATTGATAACTCCATGCAGCTCCTGGCACAAACACTCACATAGATGATCAATAAATATATCCTGGCTCATTAAATGAATGAGTAAATGAATGAATGAAAAAACTGCAAGAGAAGACAGACTTTTCATTTTCTCTTATTACAGGCAACGGTTCCCAAATGATTAAAAATTCTGTGATCTTTGTTAAAAAAAAAAAGAAGCATGGTCTAAGATAGCCTATGATTTGGCAAACTGAATGGCATGATAAGGGTCTCAGAGCAGGCAAAGATCATTATGAGCGAGGAGGGGCAACGATGTCTGCTTAGCAGTTCTGAATTTCATATTCACGTGAAATCAGTACAAAAGGCACAACATTCCCAAGGTCATGGCTGTTCTAAGCCAGGCTCCCGGGCTGAAAGCCCAGGTCCAACCATGGCTCTATTGCTCCTCTCTGCCTAAGGCTGACCGGTTTTGTGGTCAGCTCAGATGTGGCTTGGCACAGCCCCAGCAGGGCTGTGTGCTCCCAAGTCTGCACCTGAGCAAGGCAGTCACGAATCTGCCTCCTCGGCCCAGCTAGACTTTCTCCCCAGGAAATCAGTCTCAGCAGTGAGGACAGAGCTTAAAGGTTTCAACTCATCACGAGAGCTGCAGTCCTTGTGGTTCTTGGAGTCTCGAGGCAGGTGGCTCTGAGCATTCTACTACTGACCCTCAGAAGGGATTCTGCTGAGTGGCTCTGCTAACAGTGGAGAGTTGTATCCCTTGATGAGAACATAGGGTTTCCTGGAGGACCTCTATCCCCTACTGCAACCTGCTCCTTAATCCTGGAGGCTGGAAAACATAAAGCCTCTTGGAAATGGCTGCCCCGATCTTTGTCACTTCAGTCTGTTCTAAAACCAAAACCAAATTAGTTGCCCTCAAGTTGATTCCCACTCATGGAGACCCCATGTGTTTCAGAGTAGAATTACGCTCCATAGAGTTTTCAATGACTGTGACCTTTTGAAGCAGATCACCAGGCCTCTCTTCCGAGGTGACTCTGGGTAGGTTCGAACCACAAACCTTCTGGTTAGAAGTTGCATGCTTAACCATTTGGGCCACCCAGGGATATATCTATCTATCTATATATATATACACACACACATATCTATATGTATTTATGTGTGTATATATATATATATATATACACACACACATACATACATATATATACATACATATGTATATAATCATCCCTTTCAATCTGAACACTGTCGAAAGATACACTTCCCACCAAAGCTACCGTCTCTTCTTCTAAACTCCTACATTTTCACTCATGTTCCTGTTGCCCCAACTGGCTGCCCCAGAATCACTCCAGATGTCTCACCTGCCCCTACATCCAGCTAAACCTCTCTCTCCCTTGCCTCCGGCCCTTCCCTCATTCAGGTTCTATTACTTGAGCCTGGACTTGGCAGTGGTCTCCTCATTAGTCTCCTTTCCTGTGGTTATCCTGTACTCTGGTGCCAGACTAGCCTTCCTAAAGGACAATCCTAATCACACATTCTCCATGATCCTAATCACACACCCAACAACCCTCAGGGTCTCCCCACAGCCTGACAAGCAAAGTCCATGCCCCCTGCCCTAGCATTCAAGGCCCTCCACCACCTGACTGCAACCTTTCTTCATGCCTCGTCTTCTTCACCTCCTTCATATCCTTTTCTCCCCACCTTTTGCAAGTCCTAGGCCCCAACTTCATTTGAACTGTGATGTTGAGGAAGAATATTGAATATATCATGGCCTGCCAGAAGAATGGACAAATCAGTCTTAGAAGAAGTACAACCAGAATGCTTCTTAGAAGCGAGGATGGTGAGACTTTGGCTTGCTTGCTTTGGACATGTCATTGAGAAAGACCAATCGCTAGAAAAGGACATCATGGTTGGTGTAGTGGAAGGCTGGCAATGGGAAGGGAGGCCCTCACTGAGATGGACAGACAGTGGCCTAAATAATGGACTCAAACATGGCAACCATCATGAAGATGGTGCAGGACCAGGCAACATTTCATTCTGTTGTACATGGGGTCATCATGAGTCGGAGCTGACTGAATGGCAACTAACACAACAATATAGCTTAATAAATGATGTATATTAATTTTTCCTGGGCTGATGGGTAAGTCCCTGGAGGAATGACCATGTTTTATTTAGTTCTTTTACAGGCTATCATGCCTCCCTGTCTTATTTCCTCCATAGCACTTACCACTGTTTTGAATTGCCTTGTTTATTTATTTGTTTATTTTCTTCCTCCTCCCAGTAGAATGGGGACGCTAGGGGACAAGGACCTTGTCTGTTTGGTTCATGATCATCTCTCCAGCACCTGGAAAATGCCTGGACCATAATCCATATGTAAACATTTGTTAAAAAAAGGAAAGAAAGACAGAGGGAGGTGAACTAATAAATATTGGTTAAATAAGTGAATCTAGTAAGCACCCTAGAAGTCAGACATTTAAAACCAGCTTTGATGCGGAGCCCCGGTGGTGCAGTGGTTAAGAGCTCAGCTGCTAATCAGAAGGTTGGCAGTTCAAATCCACCAGCTGCTCCTTGGAAACCCTATGGGGCAGTTCTACTCTGTCCTGTAGGGTTGCTATGAGTCAGAATTGATTTGACAGCAACGGGTTTTTGCTTTTGTTTTGGAGGGTGGCAGTGGGCTCACCTGAATGCCGGGAGGGATGCTGTAGATGATGCGAATGGTTTTGCAGTCCGGGTGGCCTGGCAGGGAGTGGGGGATGAGGTGGTACTCCATCTTCCCTGGAGGCTGAGTGCCTGTCTTCACCCCATAAATGGTCTTACAGGTCGGACACTGCAAACTCCCATCCTGAGGAGACAAGGCCAGAAGAGCTAGATTGGGAAACAGTTTTGGTAATGACCTCCCCACCCCAAAAGGTACCTGGAATAAAGGGCCAAGGGCCCAAAATGGGCCCAAATGAGTAAGAGACTTTAGTTTCCCCCTGTCGGATTACCTAGCCTATTTCTGCTTTTTCAAAGGAACAAGAGTTAGAGTTACAAACAGCTCCACCGTCCACGCCCCTGCCCTTGAGGAGGCGGCAGGGAGTGTACATGGAGAATCATTATTTAACCACCAAATACCAAATGAGTGGAACAAGTGGCAAGCACTCTAGAGCAGTGACTGCCTAACGTCGCTGACCATCAGAATCGCCTGAGGAGCTTGTTAAAATAAAGATGCCTGGACCCCACAGCAATCCCACTGAATCAGAACTGGGAGGCTGCAGACTGTAGTGATTAAGAGTGTGAACTCTGAAGTCAAATTGCTTGAATTTGATCCCCAGTTCTGCCACCTACTTGCTGTGTGACCTTGGACAAATGAATTAACCTCTCTGAGTTGCAGTTTCTTTATTCGTCGAACACGGAAAATAATGGAATCTCTTTCACTTGGTTGTTGGGAGGGTTCAATGAGAGAATCCATGGGAGGTGGTTAGCATGTGGCATATCTAAATGTCACTGGTATTTTCATGATTTCTGCGGTTAGTCTAAGTTTGGAAACCCCATAAACCCTTTGCTGTCGAATTGATTCTAATTCATAGTGACCATATAGGACAGAGAAGAACTGTGCTATTGACAAGAGAAACTGGGTACTATGGCTTGGAGAAAGGAGCCTTGTGGTGCAATGGTTAAGTGCATTCAGCAATTTAACACTAATTGCCCTAGTCGCTATTTTCCTTAGATAGGGCCCTGCGTGGCTGCTAACTGAAAGGTCGCTGGTTTGAACCAACCAGCTGCTTCGCTTCATGGGAAAAAAGACTTCGTGATCTGCTCCCATGAAGATTAAAGCCTAGGAAACACTATGGGGCAGTTCTACTCTGTCCTATAGGGTCACTATGAGTTGGAATCCACTTGACGGCACATAACAACATATGCTGCAGTAAATGAGGGCAAGTTTAAGAAAATAGTCCTTAAAGAGTAGATATGAATTGGCTTAGAAGGATGGGGGATAAGGTCGGCATAAATAACTAGAGGAGGGTAGAATGCCGTTCATTAAAATATTTTAAATCTGAAGCACAGTGAGATTAAAGGACTTGCCTCTGGTCAGTGGGTCTGTCTACATCCCATGGGCTTTGCACTGCACCCAGTGGCTGTTGGTGGGAGGTTCTGGGTGCAATGACGTAGGGGCTGTGATTGCAGAGCAGGGCCTGTTGGTGGGAGGTTCTGAGTGCAGGGATGTAGGGGCTGTCATTGCACAGCAGGGCCTGTTGGTGAGAGATTCTGGGTGCAGGGATGTAGGCGCTGTGGTTGCATAGCAGGGCCTGTTGGTGGGAGGTTCTGGGTGCAGGGATGTAGGGGCTGTGGTTGCACAGCAGGGCCTGGTGATGTCTTCCCTGCAGGGACAGGAGGAGAGCCTGGAGAGCAAATCCTCCTCCCAGGCTCCTAGAAAGAAAGGGGGTGAGGAGAGGGAAAGTGTGCATAAAAGGTGCCATCACACAGCTGGGATCAAAGCTCCCCGTGACATCAGCAGCATCTCCTCAGGGAAGACCAGGATCCTCTGCAGAGCTATTTAGAAACAATTCAATTCAAGCTCTACTCATTTAAACAAATAGCTTGGATTCAGGGCAACAGAGAAGGTTACTCTTGGTGATCAAAGAGCAGGAACACGAGGTTCGGGGTCAGGAAATGGGTGCAGGGGCATCCCCTGCTCTGGTCTGAACTGAACTCGCTTCTTGACCTTGGGTGAATCACTCATTCTCTCTCTGAGCCCTTTTCCCCTTCCTCTTCTGTGTAGAGGAAATAAAAATGTATACTTCAAAGTATTAGTGCAAAAGATAATGAAGAAAACTGTCTTGAGCAATATTTTTAAAGCACCACTGTAGTAAATGCAGAGTTACTAGATTATTCTGGAACACAGTCATCAAAATGGAAATAACATGCTAAGAATTCCCTTTAAACTCAAAACAACCTCTTAGCTTAAAATGCAGGTCCTAATGGACCCTTTTAGCCTGGGTCAGGAGAGTGAGGACAGAACCCAGACTTGCATCGTCCATCGGTTATCCAGAACCACCATATGCAAGTCTCCCTGAGTCACTGAAAAAGATCCCACGGTTCACACTTTGGAAACTTTGATCAAATGTGCTAAAGAAGAAGGGAAAAAATTATAGTTATAATGCAAACGAGACATCAGTTTGAATAATAATAGTAATAATATCCTATAAAGTAGGTATGATTTTATCTCCATTTTTCTGGTGGAAAATGAGATAGCAGAGAGGATGAAAAAACTTGTCCAAGGTCATTCAGCTGATAAACCAGGATTGGAGCCTGGGTCTGCTGCCTCTCTTGCCTCCACATTTTCCCATTACGTAAGAGGAGAATAGAGCAGTTTGGGAAATCCAGACAGTTTTTGGATGGGTTGGAGATAGAAGAAGTCAGGGAAATCTCAGACTCTGATGGAATCCAAGCTGGACCTAGAGAAAGGAGTAGGATTTGAACTCATGGAAATGGGGATCTGAAGATTTTTCCAGGCATAGGAAAGAGCTTGGGTACAGTCAACAACTTAGAAAAAGCTCAGACATTGTAAGAGAAGAATTATCACCTAAGGAGATGTGATGGTTAATTTTATGTGTCAACTTGGCTAGGCTATGGTTCCCAGTGGTTTGGCCCCTGGTCTAGTTGCTACCATGGAGTAGTTACAAGTGATTAAATCAGATGGCCTTGGGTAGAGCAGATTACCTACCACAATGTCATCTACTGCAATGTAATATAATCACCTTCCATAACGCAATCTAATCAATCAGTTGAGTTCATAGCAGTGTAGGGTGGATCCTAAACCTAATCACTTCTGAGTTAGAAAAAGATCAGAATAGACACAAAGAGACACACTGGGGAAGGCAGAGGGCACGTGAAGATCGTCTACCAAGGATTACTGGCAGACATCAGAAGCTAGGGGAGAGGCTCCCAGAAGGAACTGATGACACAGCTAAGACCCTGATTTAGACTTTTAGCCTCCAGAACTGTGAGAAAATAAATTTCTGTTCTTTAAATCCACCCACTGGTGGTATTTCTGTTATAGCAGCACTAGGAAACTAAGAGAGGAGACTCCCACATTCCTGGAAACCAGCCCTAATGGGGTGTTGCCAATCTATTATCAGTTACTGAACAAGACAGGCGTCACAATGGCCTGCCTGCTCCTCCAAAAGCCAGGTTCTAGGGCAGGATTCCCAGGAATACTTTGGCAATAGACTCTGATGCCTCTGGAGGGTCAATCAGAGTCATTTTGAAATTGTTTACAGAAAAAGAATCATAACTTAAAATCAAAATACCAGGAAGCCCTGGAGAAGGAAGGGTCATTGAGAAATCCATCTCCACTGGTATGAATGAGCATTCACCCAGGGCCAAGCACTGGGATACACACTCATCGATGGGGCACACTTCATCCAACAATGGGTTAAGATAATGGTCCACTCTCCACAGAACCTTCACGAGCAGAAGTCCAAGCCCCTCAGACCACCCCACCCAAGATGGTGATTGAGGAAGTTGAGTAGATGGTCCAAAGGGAAGATGAAGACAGGTGTTGTCAACTATACAATCTTGCTGTGCATCAATCCTGCTGAGAACAGTCAAGATTATCACTCCTGGTGCCCTGAAGTGGGTGCCTCTCAGACTCCTCAATGACCCAGACACCACCCCAGAAGCCCCTCACACTCTTCCCCCTCCAGTGCCTAGCACGGGAAGCAGCAGCAGCCCCACAGGCTGGCACTAACCTTGTTCCCGTTGTTGTACATGGCGACCAGGCAGTAGATGTGGTAGATGTGACCGCATCTGGATAGCTTTCCCACCAGGTCAGGCTTGACGGTCGGCTGCGGGCCCTTGTAGCCTGAGGGTGCCATGAGGCGCTCCATACAGATGGTGCAGTCCTGGGGGTGTGAGGGGACAGAGTAGAGAGGCCCTCAGATGTCACCTGGCCAGGGAGGCTGGGGACTCCCTATGAAGGCTCCTCCATGATCTCAGAGGTCAGATGTGCTATTATCACTCTTTGTCTAGAAAGCCCATAAGCCAAAGTATATGTGTCCTTGGGAATCTAAATACAGTTTTGTCTCTCTTTACACAAGAGAAATTCCTGAAATCATTCCTGGCAGATGAGCACGTTAACTAGGGGCTTGCCAACTGAAGCGTGATCTCCTTGAGGGCTGTGACCACGCATTGTCCTTCCTTTGCGTCCTCCAATCGCTTGGGCAGGGAACAAAGGCTTGCTGACAGACCCACTGGCAAGTTATATTTAAACTGAACTTTTGTAAAGGGAACTGTAATCCAAGTGTACCAGAGGGAGAGCTATTTACATAAATAGATGTCAGGGTTTCTCAACCTCAGCACTGTTGACATTTTGGGCCAGGGTTTCTCAACCTCAGCACTGTTGACGTTTTGGGCTGAATAATTCTTTGCTGTGGCGGGAGCAGGCGTAAGGGCTCTCCTGTGCATTGCGAGATGTTTAGCAGCATCCCTGGCCTCTACCCATTAGATGCTGGTAGCATTTCCCCACCCCTGAGTTGTGACACCCAAAAATGTCTCCCTGGTGGGCAAAATTTTCCCCAGCTGAGAACCACTGCTTGATATCAAATCCATTTTAAGCGACTCTCTGTGGCTTATCATACTGACTTTCAGTCTGACCGTCATGTTAAGATGGCTTCCAATCACTCCACTGCACTATGCTGAACCAGTAAGTGGGGGAGGGTGAGCCAGAGCCACGCTCTGGACTAAGAGCCCTGGAGGCTCTGACCAGCTTTGTACCCTCCTACCCAAGGCATCCTGCAGGAAATTACAGCAGAGGAAATGCTCATGGGTGATGGAGGTGAACTCACCTACTTCTCCCACACTCACCTCATCTGGTGGGTGCCGGACTTTCTGCAGATACTTCTTCAGCACTTCCTCTGGGGTTTTACCTGTGGGGACAGGAGGACCAGTGGGCCACCGATGCAGAGATAAGGGACGAAACAGCCTTGCCAAGCGAGGTATGCCATAACCACTCCAGTTGCTGGGGAGTCGATTCCAACTCCTGGCGACCTCACATGTGTCTGAGTAGAACTGTGCTCCATAGGGTTTTCAATGGCTGATTTTTTGGAGGGAGAAAGCCAGGCCTTTCTTCCGAGGCACCTCTGGGTGGACTCGAACCACCAACCTTTCGGTTAGCAGCCAAGTGTGTTAACCGTTTGTAGCGCCCGCAGACTCCAGGTATGCCATAAAGGGAAGTTATTAGCCATGTTCAAAGCAGAAGAGAAGAGAATCCAGAATATGAAAGCCACTAGGAATTCATTCTGCAACTGGAATTAAATTTTTGAAAGAAATACAGGAGGTAGAAGAGCAGGAAAGGTGGTCTGAGGAGGTGGAAGGTGTTCATGCCTGCTTTTACCTCCTCCAATTGCTTTTCTGATATCCTCCTGCCTATTTTCAACAAGCTCACTTTTTAAATGAGATAGTTTGAGTGAGTTCCTCTTTCTTTTAATTGAAAAGCCTGAACTAGCCCAAAGGATCCAATGAGATAAAAGAAATGAACCCAAAAAAACCCAAACCCACTGCTGTTGAGATGATTCTGACTCATAGCAACCCCATATGTTACAGAGTAGAACTGAGCTCCATAGGGTTTTCTTGGCTGTAATCCTTATGGAAAAAGGTCTCCAGGCCTTTCTTCCACAATGTTGCGGGGTGGGTTCAAACTGCCAACCTTTAGGTTAGCAGAGATGAAAGCACCTTGTAAACTGTTAAACATTAAATACATAGTAGGTATTCTTACGCATTCATTTAACAATATCCTAGGCACTGTCTCACTCTATAAGGTGGTGTCAAAATACGATGTTTTTTTTTTTTTTTAATAGGAAACCAGAAAGTCATGATCCACAGCTTCAGGACAGCCTCCCTTGGCTGTTGATGGTGCTGTCACGGCCAGCAGACACAGCAAACAGCAGGGAAGGGTGAGCAGGCTGGGAAGCATCCTGCCAGGCTGCAATGCTTTTGGAATTTCTTTACGTGCTGGACATTTAGGAAGCAGCCCAGCCTGGAGGCAGAGGATGGAATGACCTAGCCTTCCAAACCTTTTGCCATCAAGCCAATTCTGATTCATGGTGACCCATGTGTTACAGAGTAGAACTGCTCCATAGTGTTTTCTTGGCTGTGATTTTTACAGCAGCAGATCGCCAGGCCTTTCTTCCATGGTGGAGCCCTGGTGGCGCAGTGGTTAAGAGCTCGGCTGATAATCAAAAAGTCAGCAGTTCGAATCCATCAATTGCTCCTTAGAAACCCTATGGGGCAGTTCTACTCTGTCCTGTAAGGTCGCTATGAGTCAGAATCGAGTCAATAGCAACGGGTTTTCTTCTGTGGTGCCGCCGGGTGGGTTCCAACTGACAACGTTTCAGGTACTAGCCCATTTGTGCCACCCAGGGACTCCAAGGAGGCACAGCAGGAAAAAGACTAGCGCCACCCTGGGCCACCTGTAAATTGGGGAATAGCAATAGCACCTACTTCAAGGAGTTGCTGTGATAATTCAACGATTAACTTATTAAATTTAGGGCTGTGCCAGGTAAGGGCCCAATGCATGCTATTAATAATAACAGGAGTGGGAATGTATAAACTCCTGTCATTTCCTATCAGACTACGAGCAAGACAAGTGCATTCAAGTTCAGTTAAGTCGAGACGTTCTGATAGCCTGGAAAAGTAGGACAAGCGTTTGGGGAAGCAGATCGTGCAGCAGCCAGGAGATGCGATGCAAGTCCTTCCCTCCCACTGTCCACTTCTCTGATAAGAATCAAGCTTCTAACAACTGACAGCCCATTACTTACCGGGCCTTGGGCTAAAAGTATATTATGCATCTCATCCGATTTCATCTTCACAATAACCTTGCAAGGTTGGGCGTTTAAGGGTGATGGTCAAACCACTTACCAACCAATACCAGCAATCAGAATGGCACAAATGGTTTGCTCTCAGCTCCTAACCTAAAGGTTGGTGGTTCAAACCCACCCAACAGTGCCACAGAAGAAAGGCCTGGCAGTTTCCTTCCATAAAAATTACAGCCAAGAAAACCCAACGGAGCGGTTCTACTCTGTAACACATGGGAATCAATTCGATGGCAGTGGGTTTGGTTGGTTGTTTTTGTTTTTGTTTTTTTAACCAGCAATCAGCCAGCCACAGTGCTACAGCTGGGCCCTACGGTACCAGGGGAGATACAGGTAGTGACTTTTTAGTTGCTGTATTGTGGGGAGATAGGAAGGAGCTCCTGAAAGAAGGGTGGAGTGGCCAAGGCATCTGGAGGCTTCAGAAGGACACAAGACCTTGGCTACTTTCCAGTTGTAATGTATGCATTCCGGGGTATGTTTGATGGATACTGGTTGGGAGGGGTTTTATCCCACTGTAAAGACAAGAAAACTGAGGCTCCATGTAGTTGTACCACTTGTAAGTGACAAAGCTGAGATTTGAATCCAGCTGTTTTGGCTCCACCCCCTAAGTGATCTTGATCTTCTAACACATTTTATGCGTGCAACACTTTATATTTTTATGTTTCTGCATTTTTGCATATTTTTATTTCTCAGAGTGAAATACACTTTGGTGTAATCATCAGAACAGGTGTTAGTATTAGGCCCACTTAGCAGATGCAGAAGCTAAGGGACAGAGGGTTGTGCCATGGGTAAGATACTTGGTGGTGGAGGTGAAGCCAGGGCTGGGAACCAAGTCTTCAGACTCCCAGGACCCCATAAGATAAGGAATCTGGTACCTTTCTTGGCTTGTTTTTTGGTGGTCTTGCGGCTTGTGTTGGAAACCCCTGGGATGGATTTTATTTCACTCTTGCTGACGGGGGGTGGGTGTAGGACCAGCTTCGGTGGCCTGGTGAGACACACAGGCAGCCCCGCTGCACTCATGAGGATCCCAGTGATTCCTGGAAGGGCAGGCACAGTGAGCAAGGGCTGAAGGGTTAGCTCCCCACCCGCCCCAAACTCCTCCCTCCCCAGGAACCCACTCTTCTCTCCAGCAGGGGATGCTCCTATTTCATTGATTCTCTACCTTCTACTGTTCCCAGAAATACATTCAGTCCCTCATCTTCAATAGCATGCTGTGCTTTAAGCCATCAGTTCTCCCCAAATTCCTCCTGCCCTCCCAAGGGGACTCATGAAACCCAATTCTCTCACTCTACAAATTCTCATTACTTTATTAATTTATCTCATTACTTTCATTTTTCTCCCTTACGTTAGTCCAGCCCACAGTTTGGTTTCTCTTACCTGCCAAGGCAGGGTTGACAGGACTAGACCCATTCAAGTTCTTGACCGGTACGGTGGGGACCCTGTGGAATGAATGAGCAAAATACATTACGGTTTTGGCAAGCAGGACAAAATGGGCCAGTGTTGGGGCCCCAAAACTTCAACCATTGAGGGTTTGCCCTTTCTTACAGAAGCTACTTATCACTACTAAAGAAGCAGTAAGTTCTTAACACAGCAGCCAGAGGCAATATCTTCAAAGCCTAAGTTGGACCACGTCACTCCACTCAAAACCCTGCAATGGCTCCCCAGGTCATTCAAACTCAAAGTCCTAACAAGGCCTGTATGGCCTTAACACGATCTGCCAACATCCACCCTCATCCCCTCATCTCTCTGGCTTCCTCTCATATCGATCAACACTTCATTCTCCTCTAGCTCTTCCTCCTACACCCCAGGCTCATTCCTGCCTCAGAGCCTTTGCATTTGCTGTTCCCTCTGCCTGGAATGTTCTTCCATCAGATTTCTGTTTGGCTTCTTCCCTCAACTCCTTCAGGCTTGGCTCAGATCTCACCTTCCCAGTGAGACTTTCTCTGACCACCCGGTTTAATCCTGCTACCCATCACTCAAGGAGTCGCTGGGTGGTGCAAACAGTTAAGCGCTTGACTACTAACCAAAAGGTTGGTGGTTCCAGTCTACCCAAAGCCACCTCAGAAGAAAGGTCTGGTAATCTGCTTCCGAAAGGTCACAGCCATGAAAACCCTATGGAGTGCAGTTCTTCTTTGCAACACATGGGGTTCCCATGAGTAGGAATCGACTTGATGGCAACTGTTTTGGGCACCCTGGGACTCCAGAGCCCTCTTACCCTGCTCTATTTTTGTCTTTTCTCCATGGAACTTACGATCTTCTAACTTAAGATGTTGCTTACTATCTCCCCTTCTAGAATTAAAGCTCTACAAGGGCAGATACCTTTGTTTCGTTTACAGCTGGCACTAGTAGGCACTCAATAAATACCTGTTGAGCAAATGAAAGAATGAGAAGTAGGTTCAAACCTGGGTGTACATAAGAACCACATAAGGAGCTTTGAAAAAGACAAAGTCCCAGGCCTGAGTCAGAATCTCCACTGGTGGGGCCCAGGAGTCTCCCAAGAGGATGCTGATGTAGCAGGTTCCCCGTCCTACATTTGGAAGCCATTGCTCTAACAGCTGTTACTTCTCCTTTTCCCTGAGAAATGTAAATATCAGGGGGAGCCTCCTCCCCTTTCGGCCCTCTCCCCAGCAACTGGAGCCTGGCTGGGGGGATTCCCTGGCACAGCTGCCTGAGAAAGGCGAGGCCTCCCACAGATCTGGCCATAAAAACATGGGGGGCCTGGGATGGATCCTATGCCAGTCCCTGTGCCACCCAGCTTCCACAGCTGGGCTTGGAGAGGGGAGGTGGGCGTGGAGAGACCACAGTCTCTGGTGACTCTAGGAGCCAGACAGCCTGAGAAGGCAGAACATGGTGCTGCAGAAAATGTTTACTTGTTTTATTATTTGCTTACTCGTTCGTTCAGGAAATGTTTATTCAGCCCGACTTTGTACTGGGCACTATTCTAGATGCTAGGGACACAGCTGCAAACAAGAGACAGCCCATGGCTTCGAAGGGCTTGCCATGCGTCAGGAGTCCATACGTTCTAATTGTTAACACACACAGAACTCGCTCCTACCAGCCACAGTTCCCACTGCTCACAATATAGATAATATCTTCCAAACCCATCGAATCCTGCCAACCACCTATGCAACAGGCACTGTCATTAACCCTATTTTACTGATGAGGAAGCTGAGGACAGAGATTAAGCAAACTTGACCAAGATCACACGGCCAAGGATTTGAACCCAGAAAATGTGGTTCCACAATCCATGTCTTAACCACTCACGATGCCGGCATGCTTATGTCTTACATGATCCTTGTGACACCCCACGCTGCAGAGCAAGAATGTGAAGCTCATAGAGTGTATCAGATAAACCCACAACCAGCAGAGGGGAGAGCTGGAACGGGAACCCAAGTGGGTCTGACTCCACACCAAGATGGACTTAGGACCTTGAGGCTGAGGGGAAGGGTACTCAGTCTGTCACTCACACGCCCGTAGGATTGGTGCTTCCCCACCTCTGTCCCCTCACTGGGGATGATGACACAGGTGACAGGGCAGTGAAGAGGATATGAAATAACAAATGTGAGAGTTTTTGTGTCTCAACAGGCCACTAAAGGCTACTTTTCCTCAGGATCAACCAAACCCAGATGGGGAGGAGAAAATTGAATTCAAACCAAGGGAAATTGGGCCAGGAAAAGGGGGTCCGACTTGATTCTGGACTCTGTGAGTCTGTGTCCTGCCCCACAGGGCCAGGCATGGTACAGGTGGACAGGGAGTCCTGAAAACTGGGTTCAAGTCCTAGCCCTGCCCAGAACTCCTCACCAATCAGTTAACTTTTCTAAGCCTCCATTTCCTTATCTTTAAAACTGTGTGGGTTCTGGGTTAGAAGGTGCCAGGAAGACTTCTTGAGGATCCCCCACTGGAGTACCTCAGAACAAGGTGGCAGCCGAGCCCCTGGGTCCTCTGCCGAGCGCAGCTTCTTCTCTTCACCCAGCTCTACAGAGAGGCTGCAGTGGAGGATCCTACCTCCTGTGACCTGTTCCCCTGCTCCCCACCAGGGGGCTGCACACGCTGGCCAGCCACGCACCTGCGTTCCCCCTCACCATCTCCTTGAGGCCCCCACTGCAGCTGATAAGTAGCTGTGATCTGGGTGACAAAAGCCACCTTTGTTCCCTCAGACTGGACTGGCAGGTTTCCACACCCAATCTGGTCAACCAGGAAATAGCCCAATCCCCAGAGTGCATATCCCAGGCAGCAGAGCTTGGGGGCAAGGTCTGGGGAGAGGTAGGGTCTGTGCATGGGCTCCTGGACACACGTGAACACTGTGGTGCCCACACGTGGGAGAGGTGCATGTCCCTGCCATGTCAGGAAAGGGACAACACAGCGGACTTGCTTGTCACTAGGCTCTGGGCAGCAGTAAGGCTTGGGGAGAAGGTGAACTATTGACTTAAGAAATACAGAAAGGTATAGTGGAAGGAGCCTGGTGGCGCAGTGGCTAAGTGCTCTGCTGCTAACCAACAGGCTGGCAGTTTGAATCCACTGGCCGCTCCTTGGAAACCCTATGGGGCAGTTCTGCTCTGTCCTATAGGGTTGCTATGAGTCAGAATCGATTGGATGGCATCGAGTTTTCGGGGATAGTGGAAGGAACAACGGCACAGGGATCCCTGAAACCTAGCATTCCAGCTCAGCCACTGACTTTCTCCGTGCCTTTGGGCTGTCATGCGGCCTTTGTGAATTTCCCTGACCACATCTGAGTTACCAGAGCTGTAAAATGGGACACTGTGATGTCTGCCAGCTGCTAACCAAAAGGTGGGCAGTTCGAATCCACCAGGTGCTCCTTGGAAACCCTATGGGGCAGTTCTACTCAGTCCTATAGGGTTGCTATGAGTCAGAATTGACTCAGTGGCAACGGGTTTGGTTTTTGGTTTTTGGAATGTCTGCCTAAGGAGCCCTGGTGGTGCAGTGATTAAGCGCTAGGCTGCTAACTGAAAGGTTGGCAGTTCGAGCCCACCAGCTGCTTTGCAGGAGAAAGATGTGGCAGTCTGCTCCCATAAAGATTCACAGCCTTGAAAATCCTGTGGGGCACTTCTACTTTGTCCTATAGGGTCACTATGAGTCCACATCGACTCAGGGGCAATGAGTTTAATGTCTGCCTTACAGATCTCTGTGAGGATTTAGGATCTAGGTCAAATATTGTGTAAACAGTGAGCCCTATGCAAATTCAGACGCTTGTTTACATTTTTATTTCCCAACTGTAAGAGGCAGTTGGGCTTTAATATTCCAAGTGTCTCAGATTCTTGAGAACATGGGGCAGAACTCTGGATTGTTGAGCTGGCAACACCTACGACTTCCCCGCACCCCCTCACCATTTTACTGGCGAAAATGAAAACCGTAAAGAGGAGAGTGGTCCACGCTGTCACACAGACCACACTCTGCTTATTAGTTGCCGTCCAGTCAATTCCGGCTCATGGCCATCCCATGTTTTACAGAGTAGAACTGCTCCATAGGGTTTTCTTGGCTGTAATCTTAACAGAAGCAGATAACCAGGCCTATCTTCCATGGTATCACTGGGTGGGTTTGAACAGCCAACCTTTAGATTAGCAGTCAAGCACAAGCCATTTGGGCCACCCAGGAAATTTTACCCTGTCTGGGGTCCCAAATATATGTGCCTGAGCTCTCTCTCTAGGAGACAGCAATCAAGTGATAGGCATGCTTCTCATACCCTCGGGGCAACTCAGCTCAGCCGAGCTGCCTGACCAACCAGAAGACAACCCCCTGCTCCCATTCTGTTAGGCTGTTCCCAGTTATGAAGGTGCCAAGTTTTCATTTCCAACCTGAAATATAAAACTAAGAAAGAGAAGAGTTGGCAAGATGGCAGGGGAGAGGAGGCAGAGGGAGAATATCTCTGTAGACACCATGGTGAGAAACAGTGTTTTTCTCGGGAGTTACGTGCCAACCCAGGAATCCTCAGTCAGGGAGGACAATGGTCCTGTCTCTACGGTAACCGAGGCCTAGCTGGAGAGAGACAAGCCCCAATTCCAGAAGAGAGGGGTAGAGGGGCGACTCCCACCCTCACTGCTGAGCCTCCCTTTCTCTCCCTTTAGAACCCCCCCCAACTTGTGTCTCTGAATAATTCACAGGCTCTTTTGTTCCCCCCCAAACCCTCCTCTTCATCCCACTTCTGCTGCCCTCTCTGGTCTTCCTTTTTCCGTGGGAAAGTTGCCTGAAGAGGTCATGGGCAGAGAGAGGAGGGGGACGGGGACAAGCAACGACAGAAGGTCGATGGCAGTGCCAGACAAAGGGAATAAACACGCTAATTAAATGGCCAAGAAAGGCTGGAGGAGAAGATGGTAGTGGGAGTGAGGGAGGTGGTAAGAGGTGAAAAGGAAAGGGGGAAGATGGAGAGGGGTAGGGAGGGGCCTCCCTTGTCAGGGAAACAGAGCAGAGAAAAAAACAACTTGTTTCTATAGCCCTTTTGAAATTGCACTGCTGGACCTCCACCCCGTTCTCTAGCTCAGTGTTATTGGCCGGCAGAGGGAATAAAGAGGAGAGATAAAGAGCTGCCGGCTCCCTTATTGAGATTCAAAGGGATGTGGGGAGCCTCTTCCTCAATTATGGCATGAGGTCACTTGGCATTTGCCAAGGGTGCCAGAAATGAGGTGGGGTGCTAAACCCTGCTCAGCTTTGACTTCCGTTCAATGACTCCATCGTGCACAATCAATAGGTACGTGTTAGGCTGCAAACCGAAAGCTCGGCAGTTCGAATCACCTGCCACTCCTTGGAAACCCAGTGGGGCAGTTCTACTCTGTCCCATAGGGCTGCGACAAGTTGGAATTGACTTGACAGCAAGAGGTTGGGTTTTTGGGTTTTTTTAATACCAACTGAGGAGTCCCTGGGTGGTACAGATGGTTTATGCGCTCAGCTGCTAACCAAAAGGTTGGAAGTTGGAGTCCACCTGTAGGTGCTTGGAAGATAAGGCCTGGCAATCTACTTCTGAAATACCAGCCATTGAAAACCCTACGGAGCACAGTTCTGCTCTGACACACATGGGGCCACCATGAGTCAGAATGACTCAAGGGCAACTGGTGGTGATGGAACACTGACTGAACTCTTAGTACGTGCCAAGCACTGGGCTAAGTCTATACACTGAATATCTTATTTAATTCTCACAACAACCCTGCAGTGAGGGTACTATGACCATCCTCATTTTGCAGATAAGGAAACAGACAACAAAGGTGCCACACTTGCCCCACTTTGCACAGCAAAGAACTTGGACCCAAACCCAGGCAGCCAGGTTCTGGGGCTGTGTCTTTATCCACTGTCTGAGCCTCCCTCGTCCATGCCTGCAATCACCCTCGACCTCTGTTGGAGGCGCCCTGGTGCTCCTGCGTGACAGCATGAGAAATCGAGCAGTGGCAGAGTTTAGGTATCCATTCGCCTCTCCCCAATACTCCAGCCAGCCCAGAGGAAGTGACATGAAAATCCCACGCACCTGAGCAGCATTTATCACATGTAAATTGCCTGCACATATGAGGAGGAGTTGGGCTTTGGCCGAAAAAGCAGCAGATAGGACCAAAACCTGGGTTCCTACCCCACTCTTTCACATACTGTTGCGCGGCCTTCCTTGGGAAGTTAACTCTGAGCTTGAGAGCTCATATGTAAAACCCAGGTGGTGGGGTGAGCCAGGGGCACATCTGCTCACTGCCAAGGGGTGACTTCCCTTAGTGGAGTTTTCACAATGACTCCATGGGGTGAGTAAGCCAAGTACGATGATCCTCACATCACACAAGAGGAAGACGGAAATGCAAAGACTCTGAGACTTACCCAAGTGGCAGAGGCAGGACTAGAAGCTGGGCCTCCGGACTCCCAGTCCAGTGCTCTCCCCACTCACCTCAGCCCCGGGTCTGCAGTATCCCCTCCTTCCTCTCACCTCCCAGTTCCGAACCTCTACATGCTGAGATCCAGCCAAGTCCCCTTAGTGCCTCCTCTGGGCAGCCTGGATTTTCAGACGAAGGTGCCCTGCCTAACTCTAAAACCATCCTGATAACCAGGGGCTCAGGGACCATAAGCAGGGCCAGGGCCCTCAAGAGAAAGGGAAGACTGAGTGGGCGTGAGAGGCAGACAAGGAGATCAGGGGCTGGTAGGCAAAGGGAGATGGCCTGGCACTACATGGACCTGCCTCTCCCCTTTTATGATCAAGAAGACCATAAAGTACCATGATAGCAGAACCTACAACATCATCGATGTAGCACAGTTCTACTCTGACACACATGAGGTCGCCAAGTGTTGGAATTGGCTTGCTGGCAACTGGTTACTGGTTACATCACCAGCTGTCAGAGCCAAGACAACGCATGGAAAGTCCCCAGCACATAGCAAGTGCTCACTAAATACCGACTCTTGTTCCAGTCTGGAATCACGCCTCCAGCTTCCGGAGGAGAGACCAGAGCAAGGGGACTAAACCTCATTTGGCACCTACTGTATGCAGAGTGGCACAACGGTGAGAGTTGGCTACCAACCAAAAGGTTGCAAGTTCGAATTCACCAGCCGCTCCTTGGAAACCCTCTGGGGCAGTTCTACCATAGGGTCGCTATGAGTCGGAATCAACCTAACGGCAATGAGTTTGTATGCTGACCAGAGTCCCCAGTGCAAATGGTTACGCACATGACTACTAACCTAACGGTTGGTGGTTCGAACTCACCCAGTGGCAATCTGCTTCCCAAAGGTCACAGCCTTGAAAACCCCATGGAGCAGTTCTACTCTGCACACTCTGCACATGAAGTTGCCAAGAGCAGGAATCAACTAGACGGCAACTATTTTTGTTTTGTTTTTTTGTTTTTATTTTTCGGTACGCTTGGTTTTGTTTGTCTTTATGTTTTTGGTATGCTGGGCACTATGGCATGTGCTTGATAGGGAAGCAGCATGGCTGAGTCTGCAAGAGTGTGGGTTCTGGGGTCAGACTTCCTAATGTTTGAATCCTAGTCTCCCCAGTGATCAACTGTGTGCCTTTGAGCAAGTGAACCTCTATTTTCTTCATCTGTGAAATGGGATAATAATGCCTACTTCACTACTTCATAGAGATGTTGTAAGGCTTAAAAAGGGAGACAAAGTCCAGGGACTAGAACACAGTGGAAACTCAATGTCATCTATTATTACTTAAGGAGCCCTGGTGGCGCAGTGATTAAAGTGCTCGACTGCCAACCAAAAGGTCGGTGGTTTGAACCCACCAGCCACGCCCTAGGAGAAAGATGTGGCAGTCTGCTTCCATAAAGATTACAGCCTTAGGAACCCTATAGGGCAATTCTACCCTGTCCTTTAGCGTTGCTATGAGTTGGAATAGACTCAACGGCAGTGGGTTTGGTTGTTTTTTGTTCTTTTTTTAAATTATCACTTTGTATGAATAAACTTTAACCCTCCCAGCAACCCTAACATGCATATTATTGCCAACACTTTTACAGATGAGGAAGTCAGGACTCTATGGTGTTAGAGATTTTGCCCAAAATCACATGGCTAGTAAGAGGCAAAGTCTCAATTAGAACCCAGATCTGTTGGACCCCAAAGAGTCCCTGGGTAGTGCAAATGGTTAACACACTTGGCGACTAACTGAAAGGTCTGTGGTTCGAGTCCACCCAGAGGTATCGCAAAGAAAGCCCTGGCGATCTACTTCCAAAAAATCAGCCACTGGAAACCCTATGGAGCACAGTTCTACTCTGACACACATGGGGTCACCATGAGTCGAAATCGACTCCATGACAGCTGGTTTTGGATTGGACCCCAAAGGCCAAACCCTTCCTCACCCACAACAGCATGCCACCTTCTTCCACCTGCAGCCAGGGGTTCAGGGAAAGACCCATTGCCATCAAGTCGATTCCAACTCATGGTGACCTCATGTGTGTCGGAGTAGAGCTGCATAAGACAAAGAGCTTAACTCCTGGTCCACCCTCTTTAACCTCTGACCTAGAAGATCAGACATGCCCTGTGTCTGCAATGGTGGATTCCCTGGGTGGCACAAATGGTTAAGTGTTGGACTACTAATCCAAAGGCTGGTGGTTCAAACCCACCCAGAGGCACCTTGGAAGATGGCGGAGTGATCTGCTTCTGAAAGGTCACAGCCTTGAAAACCCTATGGAGCAGTTCTGCTGTGTACACATGGGGTCACCATGAGTTGGGATAGACTCCACGGTAACTAACAACAAGACCACAATGAGGCAATGCTTGGAGGCAGTTCTGCAGCACCTACCCAGAGGCGATCAGGACCCGGGACTGGGCGATGGCCAGCCGCTGCAGATTGGTACGATTCAAAGTCGCCAGGGCCACTCTTCCAGTCTTGCCATTGGCTCCTGGGGGGCTGGCAGGAGAGCCCGCAGTAGCCCCCGCCGCTGTGCTAGAGGTTTGTCGCCGGCTTGCCTGGGATGGGACAGTTTTTACGGGGCCCCGGATGGTGCCTGTGCCATCCAGTGGTTTGGCCCCAGGGCCTGGTGGTGGGGGCAGCTTGACTGCTCCAGATGGGGGCATGTTCTTGCGGGCCGCTGGGGGCTGCAGGGGTCCGGTGCTCCCACTGACCACGGCCGCCTTAACGCTCATCACCAAGACACACTGTGGGCAGGAGCAAGGTGGGGTGGGGGGCGAGGCGGCCGACCCAGGGTTGGCTGGCCAGGACTGGGTCTTGGGCAAGGTGCCAGTGACCATGGGGTAGATGAGGTCGAGACGCCGCCGGACACGGCGCTGGCGCTGGGTCTGCCGGTTGATCTGGCCCATGGTGTTGAAGTCAATGACGTAGCTAAAGCCGATGGAGGTGAGGTCGATCCAGGGGTGCTGCTTCTCATAGGCATGCTGGATGGTGATGCCCACTTCCATGTCATAGGGCGTCCAAGAGCCATTGTCGTTCTCCCACTCCCACACCACGCCCTTCCCAGGGGCTGAGGACGGGTCGTAGTAGTTGCGGCGAACTGGACGGAGGGTCCCTGCCAGAGTGGGACAGAGTAGAGGGTCAGAGACAGCATGGAATGACACTTGATTGTGTTACACTAATAGGCAAACATTAACCAAGTCCTAATGGAGCCCTGGTGGCTCAGCTGGTTAAGAGCTTTGCTGCTAACCAAAAGGTCGGCAGTTCAAATCCACCAGCTGCTCCTTGGAAACCCTATGGGCAGTTCTACTCTGTCTTACACAGTCACTATGAGTCAGAATTGACTCGACAGCAACGGGTTTGGTTTTTCGGTTTAGCGAAAGTCAGGCACAGCGCTGCATGTTGGCGTATCAGCTTTGAGTGAGATTCATTCCTGTCTTTAAGGAGTTTACAGTCAAACAAAGGCAGAGCTGACCAGTTACACATGAAGGATGCAGGAGGCAGTGCAAGGCAGTAGAAAGAGCATCTCCGGCTTGGAGTCAAGAGACCTTGATTTGTGGCCACGTTTGTCCCCTTACTAAAGAAAAAACTAAACCTGTCGCTGTTAAGTCAGTCCTGCCTTATGGCGACCCCACGTGTGTCAGAGTAGAACTGCACTCCATACGGTTTTCTTGGCTATAATCTTTTTGGGAGAAGTCCCTAGGTGGTGCACACGGTTAAGTGCTCGACTACTAGCCGAAAGGTTGTCAGTTCAAATGCACCCAAAGGCACCTCAGAAGACAGGCTTGGTGATCTGCTTCCAAGAGGTCACAGTCTTGAAAGCCCTATGGAGCAGTTCTACTCTGCGCACATGGGGTTGCCATGAGTCAAAATCGACTCGACACCAGCTAACAACAACAACAACAACAACAATCTTACTAAGGTAGGTCACCAGGCCTTGCTTCCGAGGTGCCTCTGGGTGGACTCAAACCTCCAACCTTTCAGTTAGCAGCCAAGTGTGTCAACATTTGCACCACCCAGGTACTCCACTAGCTAATACAGAACACTCCTTTTCTCCCATGGGAAACAGGATAATAACTACTTCATGGGGTTTTCGTGAAGATTAAATATGTCACTTATCCATTCAACAAATATTATGGAGAGGTCTGTAGGTGCCAAGTATGGGATCTCACATGTGCCCTGTAATTTGCACTAAGGCATAGAAAGCCCTGGACGCAGAGTTGTTGTGGTGTGCCATCCAGTCGATTCCAACTCACAGTGACCCTGTATGACAGAGTAGAACTGCCCCATAGGGTTTCCAAGGCTGTAATCTTTACAGAAGCAGATTGCCAGGTCTTTTCTCCTACAGAGCGACTGGTGGGTTCCACTGCCAACCTTTTGGTTAGCAGCCGAGCACTTAACCATTGCACCACCAGGGCTCCTAACCCATAGTCAACCAAAACCAAACCCATTGCCGTCGAGTCAATTCTGACTCATAGGTGTTCATATATACCATATCCCTTCTCCCCTGCTCCTCTAAATTGCACCTTCCCCTCCCCCCTGAACCAGGGCTTTGGAGGAAAAGCCTAGAGAACAGAAGGGAAGACTCTGCCTCCATCCTGGAAGGCTTCCCAGAGGCAGTGGCAGTTGAGCTGGCTCCCAGCACCTTCATGGGCGTGGTAAAAAACAATAATAATAATAAAGGTCATGATAATAATTTTGTCTAACATCTTTCAAGAAGCTCAAATTCTCCTAAAGATAAGATTTTCTTAATTTCTACAGTCTCACAAGGGGCAGCGAAGAGGTCAGGGTTATTACAGGTGCTTCCCACTGAGGAGGCTATGGGAACCAGAGGAACGATTGATTATGCAGGGTATGCAGAAATGAACCAGCAGAACGGAAGGGAACTAAGCCTGTAACTGTTGCCTCTTTCTCTCCAACTCACCCAAAACCCAAATTCAGACCCACCCCAACCAGGGCTCATTTCATTGGGGGCGGTGGCGGGGGAGGGGGGCGTCCGACAGTGCTGTGATCTTGGCGTCTGTCAGATTAAACTCCAATCGATCAAAACGGTGGGAAAAGGCTCTCCTCGGCTGGCCTCTGACCCACCCCCTCCTCCAACCCACAGGGAGACACCAAGAGTGGGGACAGAATCCCATTCAAAGGGGGAAGAAAGGAAACAATGGCTATTCAGGCCTTTGCTGGGGTCGTAACCCGCTCCCCACCCCATTTCCAAGCCCCTTAATGACCCAAAACATCAACATTCAGAGGCTTGGAGGGGAAAGCAGAACAATCCCCTATTCAGCCCCAGGACCTCTGCAGGGGTACATGGGGGCAGCAGAGGAGAGGAGGAAGGGGGGCGACAGTTCCCTCCATTTCCTCTCCAAGTAGCTGAGGAACAAGGAGCGTGGGCGCTGGCTCCACCCGTGTGGTTTCGCCCCTTCCAGTTCTGAAAGGAAGCCTCAGTTTCCTCATCTGCAAAATCTCTCTCCTCGACAGGTATTTCACAGGGTGTATTTCAGGATTAAAGGCAAGAATGAATATAAAGTGCTAAAATAGCACCTGTCCCATAGCAAGAGCTCAAGAGAAGTTGGTGATTATTATTCTAATTTATTTTCTACTCTATATCCAAGCAGGATTGAGAAGTCATGGGGAGTTTAGTTCAGGGGTATGGTGTGTGTGTGTTCACATAACTCACATTTGCACAATCTTTATTACTTAGAAAGGACCATCACATGGCCCATCCCATCTGATCTCCCGGGCTTTCCTATGAAACTTCTTTTACAGATGAGGAAATCAGGTTTGGCAGCTTAAATGGCACTACTGTAAATTCTCTTTGGGGTAGCAGGGACCATGTATTTGAGCAATTCTCACAAATGTGATTAAAAGGCATTTTACACAATAGTGTTGTCAATCCTGGAGATGCCCTGGCTCTCGCATACCTTTCCAGTGTATCTTCCTCTACCCCCTATATTTTCCTCAAAGTCTGCCAAACAGATGACCCTTTTATCCTCATATATTCCCTCATGGTTCTCTGACTCCACCCCCACTATCCACCAGAATTCTTCTGTTGAATGCCCTCCTTTGCCATGTTTTCCTATTAAAATTCTCCTTATCATTCACTTTCTCTCTGTCATTTGACACCCATTTCTTGGTTTCCAAATTCAGGCCCCACCCTCAGGAGGTAGAATTCAGAAATCCAAGGTGCATATCTGGCTATTCCTGATCTAAGTGGCCCCTCTGAGCCAGTTTTTCTGCACTTTTAATTCAGTGTCTTAAATGGCAGGGGTACCACTATGTGGCTGCCTAGCATGGTGGCTGGCAGTAATGACCCCCAAAACAGTCACTATCGAGTCGATTCCAACTCATGGTGACCCCGTGTGTCACAGAGTAGAAGTGCTCCATAGAGTTTTCTTGGCTGTGATCTTAACGGAAGCAAGATAGCCAGGCCTTGTCTTCTGCAATACTGCTGGGTGGGTTCAAACCGCCAACCTTTAGGTTAGCACTCAGGCGCCAAGAAAATCCTATGGAGCAGTTCTACTCTGTAACACACAGGGTCGTCATGAGTCAGAATTGACTCGACAGCAACTAACAACAATCTTTACGGAAGCAGACCACTAGGCCTTTCTTCCGTGGTGACACTGAGTGGGTTTGAACCGCCAACCTTTAGGTTAGTAGTCAAGCACAAACCACTTGTGACACCCAGGGACTTAGAGGGCTCCATAAACTGTGATGGATTAGAGACCTCTGGCTATTTGGCATTTAATCATTTGTCACATACTGCTGAGCACCCACCAGTTGCTAGGAGGAAAGCGAAGATTCAGGCCCTCCTCAAGTAGCTCGTAGACGAAAACTGGAGGCAGAAACCAAGAGTGCAAATGACAATTTACGAGACAGAGTATGCACCAAAAAGCATACCAACAAAATGCCATGTTGGCAGGAAATCTGACCACATCACCTTCCTGCTTAAATCCCGTCCCTGACTTCCCCTTAGATAAGGGCCAAAGTCCCCGCCATTCACCAACCCCTGCAGCCCCCCATCTTGCATCATACTTCCTCCTCACACCCCAACACACTCTGCCCACGTTTCTGCCACATGGACCTTCTTCAGTCTCTCACTCTCACCAAGCTTCTCCAATTCTGGGCCTTTTCACAAAGTTGGTCCCTCTCCCCAAAACATACTGGTGTCCTCTTCCCTCTCATCCTTCCTTCAAATATCGGCACATTCTGCAGAAAGCCTCTTTGGGCTGCCATGAGCAGTCAAATTCTAGTTCCTATTCTTTTATTATGGAAACCGTGGTGGCGTAGTGGATAAGTGCTATGGCTGTAAACCAAAAGGCTGGCAGTTCAAATCCACCAGGTGCTCCTTGGAAACTCTATGGGGCAGGTCTACTCTGTCCTATAGGGCCACTACGAGTCGGACTCGACAGCAATGGGTTTGGTTTTATTCTTTTATTATTATTATTATTGTGGCAAATATACAGGTGAAGATCCCCGGTGGTGCAACAGTTAGATGCTCAGCTGCTAACTGAAAGGTTGGCGGTTTGAACCCAATCAGCCCATCTGCGGAAGAAAGAATTGGTGATCTGCTTCCATAAAGATTATAGCTAAGAAAACTATATGTGGGCAATTCTATTCTATCTCATGGGGTCACTATGAGTCAAAAATCAACTCGACAGCACCCAACAACAACAAATATATAGGTAACAAAAGGTCTGCCATTTCAACCATCTTCACATGTATAGTTCAGTGACATTATGTTCTTCATGTTGTTCAGGAGCCCTAGTGGCTCAGTGGTTAAGATCTCGGCTGCTAATCAAAAGGTGGCAGTTTGAATCCACCAGCTGCCCCTTGGAAACCCTAGGGGGCAGTTCTACTCTGTCCTATAGGGTCAGAATCGACTCACTGGTCTCAGCAATTTTTTTTTTTTTTTTTTGGTATGTTTTCAACTATCACACTTAACTGTTCCTGAATTTTTCCTATTCTTTATCGCACTTACCTCAATGTGCAATTACACATGTATTTGTGTGGCTAATTTGATCAATGTCTGTCTCCCTCACAAACTCTCAGTCCCGTGAGAGTGGGCATTAAGGTTTCTGCTCAGCGCGAGGGTTGCTGTGAGTCGGAATCGACTCA